TTCCCCCCAAAGCCCCAGTAGATAGTTGTATGTCATAGCTGCACATCCTTCTAGTTGCTGTATGTGGGACGCGGCCTCAGCATGGCCGGAGAAGCAGCGTGCCGGTGCGAGCCCGGGATCCGAACCCGGGTCGCCAGCAGTGGAGCGCGCTCACTTAACCACCAAGCCACGGGGCCGGCCCAAAAGTGTTTCAAAAATACAAATAACCCTATAAGTGCGTGATAGTGGTATCTAAGAAAAGGAAAAACCCTTAATACTGTCCAAGAAGACGCCGGCAGTCACTTCACAGTTCTGGGTTCTTGAAATTAGGATCAACATCTTCTCCATCGCCAAGGAAGCCTGCTCAGATCATTCCTCTAATCCTCATCTAGCAGCCATCATGTGCCAGGTACTGTGTCCCTAAGAGATGCAGCTCTGATGGAGACAGACACAGTCCCTGCCACCATGGGGCTTAGATGCTGGGGAGATGGAGTCGTAAAGTACATCCCTGATCAGGTATTTAACTCAGCTGAGTTAAGCACCATGACCAAGAAGAAGAGGGCGCTGGGCTCACCTGGTGAGCACGTGGCCAGGGCAGGCTTTGAGGAAGTGACTGGAGTGGATTATCTGAGGAGAGGGTAGGAATTAACGGAGCACAGATGGAGGTTGGTCCAGGGAAGGAGGAGCATCTGCACAAGCCCTGAGGCTCAAGGGAGCATCAGCAGTTGGAAGAACCAAAGTCCAAGTGGCTGGTGTGCAGACAGGTGCGTGAGGTGGCTGTGAGGGTGAGAGATCAGCAGGGCCAGGGTGCACAGCCATGGAGCCGGACCACACTCAGGGTCACCTAGATGGTGTCCTGAGCAGCTGTCTGAACGCATCTCAGGTAATCACTCTAAGCACTCTGAAATCGAGAGTGGAGTGAATGTATAATCAAGAAAAGCAATTGTTTTTTCATTTCTGACCTTGGTTGCTCACTCTGTACAGGCATAGGAGTTCTCAGGAAAAGTGGATGAAGCAATATTGGGCGGGAGGAGAGAAGCATTCAAAGTTAATATTACCATAATTTCAGAACCCTATCGTGAATGCCTTGGAAAGCATTGTCTTCTGAGACTTTCACTGTGAACATGTGCGGGGTAGAGGGGTCATCAGTGCAGTCATAAAGGAGTATTCAAATTGAATCTACTTGTAGAATAGTTCATGATTAACCTTCTCCGTTTTCCCCATGATCGAGGGACATAGTGTTACACCTAAAACTGGCAAAGAGTCACAGATTATATTTAAGCTTAGATTTCAAAACTGCCCATGACTATTTTTGCAGGATGTATCTTGGGTTTTTTTTTTTTAAGCAATCCAGATGCAGATGGATTTTTTTTTTATTCAGGCTGCCTGGAGGGAGCTTTAATCTTTGGTTAGTTCTTATATGTAAACACCATGCTGGACAATTAATTTGGACTTCGGGGAGTAGATGTTGTGTTTTTTTTTTTTTAATTTTAAGAAACGGTACTGTCAACAGTCTTTTCATTCTTGTGGATAAAGAGAATCATTTCTCTGGACCTCTAGTATTTGCCAACTCAATGGGAAAGGCAAGGCGCCTGAGTCAGTCATCCGGACCCTGCCAATGAGGTGACCAATGAGTTTGAGGAACAAGTGTGAATACTGACTCTCATTTGGGTCCCCCTCCCCCAGGCGTGTACTAATAGTCTGAATGTTGTTGCCCTACTTAGAGGGGTCCATGTGCTCTCAGTCCCTGTTGTTTACAGCTTTTCTTCCTCTGTCCTCCTAACTCTAGGTCATTAGGTTCCTTCAAGTTATTTGGGAACTGATCAAGGTTTCAAGCTAAAGATGGAGGTGATGAATCGCCTGAGGGTCATTCTCCAAGCCTCTCGGAGCAAGTCACTGTGGAGAAGATTCCAGATTCTGAGGTCCATGCCAGTGAGGCCCTGCAGCCTCTACACCTGCACTTACAAAACCCGGAACCGAGCCTGTGAGTACACCGCTGCCTTCAAGACAGCGAAAGGCTTGTTGTTTCCTACCAACCACGTGTGTTAAGTGTTTGTGGCTATGATGTCAGTGGCATCCCAGAGTGGGATCTTCTGCCTTCAGAACTGTGAGAATAGCTACTTGGTTCTCTATTTGTCTTCTAAAATAAATGTGGAAAGTATTTTTTTTCTAGCTTTATTGAGATATAATTGACATATAACATTGTGTACAACATGATGATTTGATACACATATGTATTGCAAAGTGATTACATCAATAAGGTTTGGGAAGTTCTTTTCTTGACCAATTTTAACATGTTAAAATGATGTCATGCAGAAAGAGGACAAGGAAGATGTCCCAGTTTCAAATACTTTGGAACCTGCTCTTTACTGTTTGTTGTTAGCAATAGTCCTCTTACTAATGTTGATCCACAGACTGAGAATTATTTCTGTGATTCTTAGCGTTCTGGAAGTTGCATATTAATGTTTGCAAGCAGTTTAGTAGCTTCACACTCTGGAATATTCTTTCCTGAGTTACAAATTGCAGAGTTAATTCTAGCTGACCAGCTTGCCAATGTATGTTCTGCTGTAAACACAGAAGAACAAATGAGGCAGCAGATGGTCTTCCCTGACACCTCTCACATCTCAGCCCCCTCCTCGAAATACAGCTTACCATCCACGTCCCTGTGGTGCAAGGGATTCTCCACCGAGACATGGGGAATGGGTCATTCTGTGTTGTTGTGGGGCTGTCTTGTGCACTGTAGGGTGATTAGGAGCATCCCTAGCCTCTACCCACTAGATGCCAGTAGCTCCCCCACCCAGCTATAACAAGCAAAATATCTGCAAACATTACCAAATGAACTCTGGGGGACAAAATTGCCCCTGGTTAAGAACCATTGAGATGTTAACAGGGGATAATGTGTGTATTTGTGGAGAGAGGAGTTTGAGTTTGTGGAGAGATGGAATGGCTAGGTATATCATTAAAGAGGAATTTTTCATATTTTCCATTATTTTAAAGGAATTGACACAGCGTGTTCGAATGTTGGCTTCCTTCTAGGTCTAGGTTTCTCCACTTTTTCTCTTTGGGTTTGCTCTCTTTTGACCCTATATGCACATAATAAAAAAAATAGGTGGGAAAGAAGTGCTTGTAAATTAGTAATGCTAATCTAGCTAAATCCATTGCCTTGAAACTGCTCCATAAATATATTCTTATTGTAAGTTTATTTTGTTTCCTCCAACATTGACTGTGTTCTCATTAAAATAAACTGGCCGGAGTCATAATAAATTTTTGGTTGCTGGGTGTGGCTTCCTACCAGCAGACCCACATCCTACTCGGACTGGCTCATTCTCAATGCTGGCACTTTGTGGTCTCAGGCTTCAAGTGGAAAAAAATAGTCGTATTTATCTAGTTACTAAAGTTTTGTGTGAGTGTAGGGTTTTTCCGTGGAGTTTTTCTTTGTTTTAACTTTCATCTTTCTGTAAATAAAATGTCTGACATCCAGTATGCTCATGTCTTTAAGATAGTTTGCTTCTTTTAGTGTTGACAAAAACCAAAAAGTAATGGCTTGAGGAGGTAGGGGCTTCCCTTGATTAATTTCCCACATCAGATGAAATGTTCTTATTTGTAAGTTACTAGAAGAAACGGGTGACAGTCATCATTTGATTTTGCTTTTGGCATGTTATACTGTCCCTCCCTGTTTTCACCCAGGAGAATATTATAGTCTTTGCTGACCTGGGCCACTGAGCATGTCCTGTTTGGATATCCTGATCCCTCATCTGTTTAGTTGTAAAGACATATCTCATTGTTTCTGGAAGCTCAGTACCCCAGCAGAAGGCTCAATGTACACTTGTGACCAAGAATGACCCAAGATTGTTGAGAGAGAAAAGATAACGTGTACAGTCCTTAGCTAGTGCCTGCCACACAGTGAGGACTCAGCATTAGCAGCTGCTGCTTCTACTACGATTGTCATCATCATCGTCATCATCTTTATCATCATCATAGGCTCAGTGCCTCCCTCACGTGTTTGACCATTTTTAAGATTGGCTGAAGCAGAATAAGGAGTACATGAAGGAGGAGGTTATGGCAAATTCAGAAAGCAGCATTTCACTGGAGCCCTGCGCTCTGTGCTTTACCTGCCCTCCCCACCCTCCCCCAGGTAATTGGCTATCAGCTCACTTTGCTGTTGGATGTCATCTCAAGTAGCAGACAGTAACCGCTGACAGTCCTAACTTTGGGAACTAGTAATATGATAAAATAAAGATAAAAGCCTGCACCTCTTACCCAAGATGAAGATAAAATCAATTTCACTTAGTGTGTCATCTAGTGAAGTTTAACCTAATTGTCACATAAATTTAGAGTCAGAGTAGATCACAAAACAAAGCCCAACAGTCAACAATGAGAAAATCCAGTTAAACAATGAGTCAAAGACCTTAACAGACACCTCACCAAAGAAGATATACAGATGGCAAATGAGCATATGAAAAGATGCTCCACATCATAGATCATCAGCAAAATGCAAGTTAAATACCAATGGGACACCACTACACACCAATTAGAATGGCCAGAATGCACTGAAACATTGAAAACACCAAATGCTGACAAGGAGGTAGAGCAACAGGAACTCGCATTCATTGTTGGTGGCAAGGCAAAATAGTACTGCCACTTTGGAAGACACTTTGGCAGTTTCTTTCAAAATGAAATACACCCTTACCATACGATCTAGCAATCATACTCCTTGGTATTTACCCAAAGTTGTTGAAAGCTTATGTCCACACAAAAACCTGCACGTGGATGTTTATAGAAGCCTATTCATAATTGCCAAAACTTGGAAGCAACTAAGATGTCCTTCAATAGGTGAATGGATATATAAACTGTGGTACATCCAGACAATGGAATATTGTTCAGCGCTAAAAAGAAGTGAGCTATCAAGCCATGAAAAGACACAGAGGAACCTTAAATACATTTACTAGGTGAAAGAAGTCAATCTAAAAAGGCTACATGCTGTATGAATCCAACTACATGACTTTCTGGAAAAGGCAAAACTATGGAGACAGTAAAAAGATCAGTGGTTGCCAGGGGTGAGGGTGTAGGGAGGGATGAATAAGCAGAGCACAGGGGAGTTTTAGGGCAGTAAAAATACTATGTATGATACTATAATGATGGTGTTGGGGAGGAAAAATTTTCCTTTTACCCTTCTATGTTCTCTGGCTGACCTACTAATTAAATTGACATAAGACAAATTAATAAGAAAAAAAAAAAGTTCAATAACATGTATACATGGAAGAGACCCCAGAAAACTGAGTAACTCCCCAAAATGGCTCAAGCCCTCACCTTAAATATTATCTTCAGCTAAAGACAAAAGATGTTGGGGGGGGTAGTTATAGGAGGTTACCAAGAAAAGCACAGTAAACAAGGGTAAGGTTATTATGCAGATTTTAGTCGGTGCCTTCGCTATTGATAAGGATTTCTAGAGATTTAGAGTCATCCCCTCTTCCTTGTACAGAGAAGGAGACACTCTTACAAATGGAGATTTTCCTTATAAATGTAAATGTCTTTTACAAAGGGTTACTTCTATTAGGAGCTTCTATTAGCTCCTCCCATGTCTGCTGTTTCTTAAAAATAACTAGCCTAAAACAATCCTTATGCCAGAGAGACCTATTTTGGGGTGACAAATTCTACACCCCTACAATGGATTCATGTCATTATACATTTGTCCAAACCATAGAAAATACAACACCAAGAGTGAACCCTAATGTAAACTATGGACTCTGGGTGATTATGATGTGTTAATGTAGGTTTGTCAATTATAACAAATGTCCCACTCTGATGGGGGATGTTGATAATAGAGGAGGCTATGCATGTGTGGGGGCAGGGTATCTATAGGAAATCTCTGTACCATAAATAAATAAATAAAGCCTTTTATTTTATTTTTTTTTTTTTTAAGATTTTATTTATTTATTTTTCCCCCAAAGCCCCAGTACATAGTTGTCTGTCATAGCTGCACATCCTTCTAGTTGCTGTATGTGGGACGCGGCCTCAGCATGGCTGGAGGAGTGGTGCCTCGGTGCGCACCCGGGATCCAAATCCGGGCCGCCGGCAGCGGAGAGCACGCACTTAACCGCTAAGCCACGGGGCCGGCCCAAATAAAGCCTTTTAAAAAATTAAGCAGGAGATCTTAGATCATAAGAAAATTAATTTAATAATGTTAATTCCTTAATTTAATGAAATATAAAGAATATGATCTAGAATGGAAATGGTACATATTTGTTATTATTCCGGTGATTCTTAATATTCATGATCTCTCTACTTTTAGAAAGAAGAGATGTGCAACTGGCAATAGATGTTAGCTCAGAGCTGGTCTTCCTCAGCAAAAAGAGGAGGATTAGCATGGATGTTAGCTCAGGGCTGAT